GAAATGGGCGAAACAGAAGCAGAAGGAGGTTCTTAAAGAGACATAGGCCAATTTAAAGGCATTTAGAAGAGGAAGTGATGAGAATATAAGTTTATTTTCTATTTAAACATAAAAACAGCATTTTAATAACAGCTAAAGGTGACATAGATACTTTATTATGGTATAATATTTAAAAGTATGCCTGAGAAACACATAATATKGCCCCTTTAAAGTCTTGAAATTGGCATCTGTCTCTCAAAGAACTTCCTACTGTTTCCAAYACTTCAGCACATCTTCACACACAACAATGCTCCGGGGGGAGGGGTGCTCTGTGCGGCTGTAGACTGAGCTCCAGGGAGGAACTTTGTGTAAATAGGCGGTGCTTCGTACCAGCAAGTGTTTAGGCAGCTCCTCATGGCTACCACGGGAGATTCAAGGATTCCTCAAACATGCATGAATGAGTCAAAGTAACACTGGGTAGGTTTATAACTTAACTCAAAAGAGTCAATTTTGTGTAAAAGCAAACTGTGCCATCCTTTGAAAAGTCACTTCAGTTCACTGGTGAACTAAAAACCATGACGTATCTAAACTCCAAAAGAGGAAACGGTGTGTAATCCTTGAGAAGCTGCTTTAAACGTAAAAGGTAAAGGAAGTAAATGCAATACATGGTCCAGCTGTGCACACTTTGTCCACATGCAAGCAAGATTTGTAAATTGTATTTTGCATTTCAACTGCTACTTGGTTAAAAGGAATTTCAGCACATTTGAAGCAGTGAGTCAGAAAGGAAATAAACACCATCGTTAACTATTAAATCTGCATGAAGAGAACATCAGCTTTTAAATCAATAATCATACAATGTGGATCATTTTTAAAGTGTCCACTGTTACCTGTCCTGGACTGAACCCGTCTTATCCTCATCACCCTCAGCCAGCGACCTCTTTCTCTCCCACGTTTCCTTCCAGTTGGCCCTTTTGTCTGATGCCAATCTAGTGGGAGAGGAAAAAAAACTTCTGTTTCAGGTTGGGTGAAGGCCATGCGTAGGTTTGGCTCTTCTACCTCCAACCACTGTTCATCTCTGACAATCTGGTTAACCTATACGGGCTGTTTTCAGGTCTGATTACCTTTACAGACAATCAGGAGGAGTTCAGAACATGCCTGTTTTTACAATAAGCCTCTTTCACAGATGGATGCTGCTTCAGCGTGGTCAATTTCCTTTTCTTGTTGAAAGTAATTGAATTTCCACAGCTGTCACTCTGTTGTCAGTATTTGCTCACGTTTTATGGTTTACAGCTCTCGGAGTTAAGTGCTGACAGGAACAATAAAACCTGGCAGATAGTCTGACTAAGTCTGAATCTGCTTTGTGGGCATTTGATTTGATCACTGTCAGTGTGGAGAAGAAGAATACTCTTTTTTTCATAATGTTCCAAAAAACATCTATGATAAAATTAAAAGCCTAGCCTTCCTTAAGGTTTTAGGTTAAGAACATCTTATGTTGAGAAATAATGAAAATGTAGCCTTTTTAGTCGAGTCTTGAAAATATTGCATGTATGAGTTGTGAATCACTCTTCAGCTGCTACCACATCAAATTTGAGCTTAATACCTATTCTGTTGGCTTTGGCAGCCAGTTTGAGCCTGCCTTGCTCCAAAAGTTAATCAGATGCAGCTGTACTTTTAAAAATTATTTCCYGCAAGTTTAAAAAAAAAAATTATAATACTTTGATGCCAAACAAATACACACACATGTGCAAAAACATGATCATCCACCTTCACCCTTTGGCAGTGGTTTGATAAGAATCATTATTACCATTTTTAAAGAAATACCATGACAGGTTTCAAAACAAATCATATCTGCACACGCCAAAAAGAAACATGTCATAAAGTTAACCAGAAGTTTTCTGTGTTTCAGAGTCTGAACAGCAGCATTGGGACCTGCCACAAGAGAAATGGCTTACTGGTGAGACAAACTAATCTGTTAAAAACACTAACAAAAGACTATTCTTTTTGTATTGAGCTGTTCGTAATATTTTTATGCCGCAACACTGAAACTCCCTGTCTTTTCTTTCAGAACGGCGTCCCGAGCAGAGACGGAAGCATTGTTCTCCGATACATTCCTGACCCCACAGATAAACTGTTAGACGAGGCCTTCCAGGCCGCTCCAGGCAAGTACACTTCAGCTTTAACCCGTCTCTGTGCCGCAAACCTTTGAGCCAGTCTGAGATCACCCAGAGAGACGAGGAGACATCTAGTGGACGGAAACGGTGTTGTTTGTGAAAAACATTTACATTTTCTTTTACTCTGCTGGCACAAAGAAACTTGATGTTTTATATTTTATAAACTTTTCTCTTTCTTTACATTTTATTCTATAAATCATGCCTGCTGTAAACAATAAACGTGGGCCTTTAGACTAGTGCATCCTAAATATTTTAACATTTAATATTTTTAAATGATTTATAATCATTCCAGCCTTTAGAAAAATGTTATTTTTTGGGAGGTCACCTCCTAATAAATCTYATTAAGGAAAATCAAACTGCTCATATTTACCCAATACTTGTAGTTTTTTTCAGATATTACTTTTTTTTACTACTTGTATTCTTGTATGAATTGTAATGCTGTGGTGATGTTTTAATTTCACTATTTTACTTTCTTGTTTTTATTATATTTCATGTGAAGTGCTTTGTGATTTTATGTCTATGAAAGGTACTATATAAATAAACTTTACTTACTTACTTTTAATCCTTAAGTATATGTTATGTCAGATAAATTATACTTAAAAAATATCAGATACTTTAAGATTTTTACTCAAGTATTATTCTTAAAGGAGACTGTAACCTTTACCAAAGTAATTAGTAAAAAGTATCACTTTGTGGTACTTTATACAACACTGCTACTTTATTACTCAGCTAAACGAAATTATAGATGCTAACCTCTGTTACTTGAGTGATCATTTGTTTTGTACTGTTTTTCTAACACGTTTTTTTTCTTTCTTTTTTTTCTTTTTTTTCTTTGTTCCACAGACTACATCAACCAGAACGGGGTCTCAGATGTGGTGAATCCTAACTACCAGCAGTCGTGTTTGCCTCGCGCTCTCCTTCCCACCATCTCGTCCGACGACACGGAGAACGAGTACCTGAACTGCTTTAAGAATGAGGCCAAGGAGCCCGAATACCTGAACAGGCTCCCGCACCCCGCCTCGTTCCCCCTCGCCTCCAACGGCACGGTTCACGGCACCCAGCCCTACCAGCCCCAGACCAGCATAGACAACCCAGATTACCAGCAGGACTTCACCCCCACATTTAAGACCCACACAAATGGACACATACCTGCTGCAGAGAACGCAGAGTACCTGGGCCCGGACTGAGGACTTTGTGGGACAAGATGAAAGAGACTGTTTTCTTTTCCACTGAGAAAGAGACTTTCCACGGCCGGACATGCGTTAATAAGTGCTATCATCACTTATGCTGTGTTCTGAAGAGATTTTACTCTCCACGAAACTAAAAAAAAGACTTTATTTTCCTAATGAAAGCAGGACAAAGGCTCATGTGCCTCGTTTGATTCCAGAGCTGACGGACCAGACACAAAACGTTACCCTCGCCAGAAAGTTGTTTAAATACGCACAAAATACTTTCCAAGACCCAATATATGATGATTTTGACTCCTCCACTGGTGTAAGAGAGCACAACTCTCTTGTAGACACATTTCTACGATCAAAATGTTCCTTACAAGAAAAGGAGTTTTAGCGTAAGCAGCCTGTTTGAAGACGCTCCTCCTTGAAGGGTTGGTCAGCACGTTGAAACGTCGACACGAAGCAGAACGCGGAGTCGGTGAGGACTTGTGTCATTTAACTATGTTCTGAAAACAGGTTTGCGTGAGTGTTAAAGTGTAGCAGCTTGGGACTGTGAAGTTCCTTCTCCGTGCTTTTTGAGTCACGGCCAACTATGTCGAGAATGTGACGGCAAATATAGCAGATGTGACTGTGGCTCACACTCCTGCGGCACTTTGTAACATGAGTTTTTTTTTTTTTTTTCTCAGACCTGAAAAGTTATCAATGTGATATACGAGCACGATTACACAAGAAGCTTTTGATTTTTCCAAACCGATGACCTAAATCTCCAACAACCTTGACTGTTTTACCATCTTATCTCTTTCTAACACACAGATACTAAATGACTTTTCTAGTTCTGTTCTCAGCTTAATTTTTTTTCCTGTCCGCTTTGTGTTTGAAAAGTGCTGCGTGAACCGACTGAGGACCTGTGTGTACATTTATTACTTTTTTTAGTCGTAGCATTTTCATGTGTTGTGTTTTTATGAATGACTGTGTCAGGAATTAGTTTTTTTTTTCCCTAGATTGTTGTTTCTCGTGGTGTTGACGCCATATATAATGTGTAGGAATCTGCTCCTATAGCTTTAAAATTATTCAGTCTCGCAAGAGCATGAGCTCTGCCAATATTATTCCTAGTTTTAAAGGAATAAACTATCGTAGCAGCTTGGCTTTTCCTGATTTTTACACAGGTACGTGTACAGAAAGTCGTGATTATCTTGAAATATATCCCCAAAATAGTCACCTGTAATTTATACTCCATACACAGTTTTTTTCATATTATATGTGAATATGCACTTATTTCTGATTGTCATCATATCATTCAAAAAAAGTACATAAATAAATATTTTTTATCTGTGTAAAGTTGTTTGTTCTTTTCTACAGCTTTGCAAAAGATAAGATGACATAGAGGAAGGACGATAGAATGATTCACTTATCTGGTTTGGACGAGGAATAAATCATAAAACATCCTTCAGCGGCTGATAATCGGCTGCATTTTTACGTACATATACGCTGCCCAACCAGTGTTGGGAAACCAGAACAAAAGCAATAAAGTGCTGAAATTAGAAACAACTATTTAAGAAAATGAAAAACTGGCACTGTATGTTATATTAATCTGTGCTGATCTGAAATGAATACTCACAGGAGAAGCTATACTAGAACAAGATTTGAAGGAGGAACTTGAGAAATGCCAAGGGTTAGAACACAGAAAAGAGGCATTGTGGAGGGTCAAGACCTCAGTGGTGCCAGTGGTCATTGCAGCATTCGGTTCTGTGGTCCGTCTAAACTGGATGAGTGGCTCGAACAGATCCTGGGAACCACCTCGGAGATTTCTGTCCCAAAAAGCACAAATCCTGGGAACAGAGGGCCTGAGCTTGGAACCATCCRTGTGCATCAACAGGGAGAGCTGAGTGTTTCAAACAGTGTACAAAGAGAACGTGGAAGACAATAAAAACTTACCGCACAGTTTAGCAGTTGTTGATGCTCTACGCCCACTACTGCTCTGCAAAGCCTTAAACCAAGATCTGAGCCCGGATCATCGAAAAAAGAGGCCAGAGATATCGCTTCTAAAGTCATCAGTCAGCACYTCCAGGTGGAAAACGTCATGTTTGCCATAAACAAGTAAGCGTCAATAATGACCCACCTCACCGGAGGAAGTGGACTAGTGAGCATTTAGAAAGAAACAATTAAGATCCTGGAGTACATTAGAAGCCCCACCACAGATGAACTGATGGGTGAATGTCTCAGACCACCTGCAGATTGAGGAGGTGGTTGATATCAACAAATCCTGCCAGGGGCTGGACTGAAGGACGGCAGAGGAACTAATCATGGCTGCAGTGGTCACCTCGAGGTGGAATAAACAGTTCCACCTGTCTTTGACCTTGGTCTCAGAAGACCTCCTTTAAAGAGACAGAACTCAAGTTAGAGCCATAACAGGTTTTCTTGCAGTAAAGAGACATTTTCTTCTTATTAATCAGATAATAAACAGAATTATCTTCTTTTTATGCATGATTTTATCAATGTAAAAAAAGAACACACAAAAAGAATGTTATTACAATGTTTTATTGTGCTTTGATGTAAATCACAGCTTGAACTTTAACTGTTGAAAGTACAGTAATTGATTATAGGTTTTTATGTTTAAATATTTTACCTAACTAAACTTTGCATTATGGTTAAGCTTTATTA